TGAGGATCCCCATGCTGCTGGAGTTCAATGACAGCGGTTAGTTTAGATTGCTCTTTTGCCCATTGCTTTCGTTCACGCTGCAGCTGAGAGAAAAAAGACCTGTGGCTGAGATCTCGAGATCAGTTTCAAGCTGACGGACAACGGGTCGATGATACTCCTCGTTGCTACTGTTCTCATCCTCGGATAGAAGATCCTGAGATTTGTTCAATTGGAATCAGAGCGTGCACGGACACTGATTTTGATACAGACCCAGTTGGGCAGTGGCTTGATTTCTATTTGTCCGGCATTGCCAAGCTCTTCACATCCTGGCTTAGTAGGAACTTGGGCATTGCTCTTGAAAACGCCTTGAGCATCTGCAGCATACTGTTGGGATCTCTGTTGGGATCTCACCTAGATCATAGACTATGAAGATGTTAGAGCACCACATGGATTAGGCACGTTTTCTCGAGGTCTTGAGCAACTGGAAGACCAGGTTAATGCCGCCGCGCTTCGCTCTTTGTCATCCCGTGCCCGCGCATACCTCCGCACATGTAAATCATGCGCGACGATCCCGCACGGTTTTGGGGGCGATCGTTGGGGCGTACTGACAGCGAGTTTGCGTCGCGGCTTGGACACGCGAAAACCCACCGTCTTTGAGTTCAGCGCCTCTGTGACTAAGAGCGTATGATTTTCGCGGGCCTCAAGCCAGCCAATTTGTCGAGCGTACATTCAAATTTAGACGGTTTTGGTGGGCTAGAAGTGACTTAAGAAAGAAGCTACTCTCGTAGACTCGGGCACGGTACCGCACAGACAAACTGTCGGCGAGGCTATAGATTATAAAATACGAAGACAGGAAGGGAGGGAAGTATCAAACGTGCCTACCCAGGTCCTCGCCGACGGTCGCCGCCTGGCCCGGACATCCGGCCGCACGAAACCCGCGCCGCGCGCGCCCACAGCGCATAACCCAGCGAGATGGTGGGCCGCGAAGAAAACTCAAGCGGCGCCTGACGCCCCCGGGCCAGGCGCACGCTGCGCGCACCGCAAGCCCAGTCGTCGTCTCAGGAGGAAGATTCTCCTGTATCTGCCCTACTGTCCTTATTTTCAAGTTCCCTTTCTTCCTAAATGTTGCAGTCTCATATCCTCATGGGGCTGAGTTCAGTCCCAAGGTCCCCACCTTAGTATGGGGGTCCTTCCTCCTTTCCCCAATTTCCCTCTAGCAGCCTCATCTCACCTTTCCATTTTCCGTCTAAGTCAGGAACACTGCCATTTCCCCTCAGGGTCGTACCCATTAACTAGGCTAATAGGGATGATAGAAGGTTCTACATGTGATGATCTGGGTTTTAGTGCACCAAAATTGGTCACACCCGAGGGACACGCACTGCCAAGCCATCGGCAGCGGGTCGGCGAAAATCGGCGCGTGCGCCGCTGCGTTTTGGCGATAGACGCTGTGGCAAAAATGCGCCGAAAAAGGGCTGCATATGCACCCATTCGCGCGCACTACCACGGGATGATCACCATCCTCTGGGGGTCCACAAGGCGCGCTCGTCCGCGCAGGGTCCCAGGCAACTCAGCGCGTCGAGCACGGGCAGCCGCAGACGCTGGGATCGCTTCGTGGAGCTCATGGCGCGCTCGAACGCGCTCGAAAGCGGGTTTCGCAGCCCGGCGCGCCGTCATGTTCCAGCGACCTGCGCACTTCGTGCTCGCCGGAACCACTGACACGTTCAATGATCGGATTTATTCAATAAAACGCGCTGCCGCGGCGTTGCCCAGTGATAAGAGTAAGCGTGTCTCACGGTCTGGACGTCGTCGCGGGGCAGCGGCTCCCGGGGCGGGTCCTGAGCGTCGATTGGACGCAGATAATTACGACGAACGCGACCTCCGTCGCCCGCCGCATCCGATGGTACAATTTATCTGCGTCCAATCAACCCCTGAGCGGCGAAACCTTAACGGCCGCGGGCGCAGAGGCCCTGGGGCTGGAAAGGCAACGATGGGAGACGATTGGTCTAGAAAAATTGCGATGGACCCGACGCAATGGTGGTATGGAATGGATCGAGACCATCCCTTGGGGTAGGGGCAGCGTCACACGCCTCACGGCCACCGTCGAGACGACGCGGCGCAGGAGCTCGACTCCATGAAATCGATGATTTCGGACTCTCTTGACGAGCCCGCGCGTCGAAGCCGATGGGGTTGATGAGGAACGATCACAGCTGCTGCCATGGCTCGAACCCGGAGGATGAGGGGTCGCGAGGGGGCAGCGCGTCCCTCCCCACCCACTCTACCTCCCCGTTCCAGTCCCCACGTGGTCGTATGAGCGTCGCGTCTTCGCACGTGCCTCAACCTTGTCCTTGCGAACCTCGCAGCCGCTGGGATCGTTGCACAATTCGGCATATTCGCGGAGCGGCGGGCTCTCAAAGACGGCCATCCCATCGCAGCGCGCCTCAAAGCGCACCAACTTAGCTAGCCCGAGAGCCATTCGTTTGATTGAATGTCGTCGATCATCAACGTAGCTTTTTGTCAAGATTCTTGAAAACCCCAAGGTTTGTCGCTCCGGCGAGCACGAAGCGCACCGGAACTCGGTCGTGCGCGACGAAGGAACGTCGTCGCGGCACCGCGGGGACCCGGCGGACCCTGCGGACACCGCGGCGGCCATCCCACGCGTGCACCATGGTGTGAATTAGGGCTGCGACATAGCGTGGACTATATGTGGCTCCCCACGATAGAATGCCGAGTTTACGTTGCACCCCAAGATTTCGAGTGAGTGGTTCAGCGGCCAAGACGGCGTTGAGGGCTTTCAGATGCAACAAGAATTTTCCAAATCGGTGGTCATGGAGCCGAGATAGAGCCCGCCAAAGGTGCCCATCACCACTGCCAAAGCCCTCTTGGCCATCGATTTTCTCGATTTGATCCCGAGCTGCTCGATGCGGGATCTTATCGTGGGGAGCCACATATGTGGACTATATATAGCCTATTTAATTTTAGCCGCCTCGCAAATTCATAGTCTCACGTCGGACGTCCACGCCTGCGCAGTGAAGCCATGCAGATGTCACCGCGGACGTTCGACGCGGAGATGCGGTATCTGAAACGTCGCGATGAACAGTCGTGGTCAATTGCGAAGGGCTTTGTGCCCGGTATGCGCGTGCCGGGCGTTTTTTTCGTAAATTCTGCGTTGGAGTCACTTGTTTTTGACGAGCTTCGACATCACAGTGATTCGTCAGGCTACGGCGGTTTTCTACCGGCAATCAAGCAACTTGCGAATGTGGCCACCCTACCCGGTATAGTGGGCGAATCTGTGGGGCTACCGGACATTCATAGTGGTTATGGATTCGCAATTGGTAATGTGGCGGCTTTCGACTGTGGTGACTCCGAGGCAGTAGTATCTCCTGGGGGTGTTGGGTTCGATATAAACTGCGGGGTGAGGTTGCTCCGGACGAACTTGACCGAAGGAGATGTGTCCGAAAACAAGGAGTCGCTGGCACAAAGCCTCTTCGACCACATTCCTGTGGGTGTTGGCAGTAGAGGTGTCATTCCAACGTCATCTGCGCATTTAGATGCTGCGCTAAATATGGGCATGGACTGGAGCATACGCGAAGGCTACTCTTGGGCTGAAGACAAGGACCACTGCGAGGAGGCTGGGCGTATGCTGCAAGCGGACCCAACCAAAGTGTCGAGACGTGCAAAAAAGCGTGGACTTCCGCAGATGGGTACATTGGGAGCTGGGAATCATTATGTCGAAATCCAAGTTGTAGATGAGGTTTACGACATGCACGCCGCCAATCGCATGGGTCTTGGTATGGTGGGACAAGTCGCAATAATGATTCATTCTGGTTCTCGTGGTCTTGGCCACCAGGTGGCGACGGACGCGCTGCTTGCCATGGAACGCGCCATGGAGCGTGATGTAGGTTTGCGAACCAATGACCGGCAGCTTGCTTGTGCACGCATAAATTCTGACGAGGGAAAAGATTATCTCGGAGCCATGGCCGCAGCTGCAAACTATGCCTGGGTCAATCGCTCATCCATGACTTTTCTTGCTCGCCAGGCCTTTGCCAAGCAATTTGGATCGACTCCTGATGACCTCGATATGCAGGTTGTCTACGATGTTTCTCACAACATCGCCAAAACAGAGGAACACTTTGTCGATGGAAAACTTCGGACGCTGCTGGTTCATCGCAAGGGAGCAACGCGCGCGTTTCCCCCAAACCATCCTCTCGTCCCCGTTGACTATCAATTTACTGGTCAGCCAGTACTTGTCGGCGGCACTATGGGCACCTGCTCCTACATTCTCACTGGGACCGAGCGTGGCATGGCCAGAACGTTTGGTTCTACCTGCCACGGGGCAGGCCGTGCCTCTTCTCGCAACAAGACAAGACGCACGTTGGCCTATGAAGATGTCCTAGCCGACCTTGATAAGAAGGGCATATCGATTCGGATCGCCTCTCCTAAGCTGGTAATGGAAGAGGCTCCAGAAGCTTACAAAGATGTCAATTCTGTTGTTGAGACTTGCGACTGTGCTGGAATATCCAACAAGGCACTGAAACTCCGCCCTATTGCCGTCATTAAGGGATAATTCTCTGGCTACGCGAGCAGCGTGCCCCTTCCCTTGCTGGAAGTGCTGGCACACTGCCGGTGGGACACGTGGGCCCGGCAATCACAGTTGTGCGAAAATGCGGAACTTTACAGTGAATCGAATTCACCGTTTACTTCCCGAGGCAAGTTACTTCTCGAGGCCAATTAACTGTAATAGGTGGGATTCAGCAAGTGCAAGTCCAGTTACTCGTTGAGACTGCTTGTTGGCAGCCTGCTGGTGAGGATTCTCTTGCTGTCTGCTTTGGTAAAATCTAGGCAGTGTGATTCCTTCGGCTTGGCGCCAATTGACGTATGGCGTTTTTTAGGTGAGCCGGCGCCATGGGCGTTTTTTAACGCGCTGATATATAAAATCGCGCCATGCATGGGGGGCCCTCTTTTCATTGAGTTTCATGATTTTCCCGGGGGCCCGCAGCGGGGGTCCGCCGGCAGCGCCCGCCGGCGGGATGCAAACCAGCCGAACGCGGGAACTACGGCGCCTTCTAGTTTGGGACTCGTGGCCCGGCCGAATAAAGCCCCCAGCCGCCGGCCCCAACAAGTCGGGCCTGGGAAACCCAACGAAGCTGGGTTTGCGACTTGCCCCCGGCTCCGTCAACATATCCCGCCGGCGGGATATGTTATGCCGGCGGGATATGTTAAACGCCGCTTCAACTTGGACTTCAGCCTCAAAACCTTACACTTCAACAGGGGCCTCAACGCAGCCGTCTGCCCTTCAAAAGGGACCTTAACACCGCCGCTCACGCCTTACGGGGGACCTCTGACGCGCCGCCCACGCCTCACGAGGCGCGACCCGCCCCAAACCACGTGCCAGAACCCCTCCGGAACAACCCGCGGGAAACTCGACGCGTTCTAGTTTGGGCCCCGCCCGGCCCCCTAGCGCCTGAGTAAAGCCCCCGGCTGCCGACCCAAAATTATCGGGGGCGTTTCGGGTCCCTTGGGGCCCCCTCCAGCGCAGGGGGGGGGTGTTCTGGGCGGGGTTCTGCCGCCGCCGGCGGCCGCGGAGCCTCGGGGCCTACTAGAACAAACTAGAACGGCTCTAGTTCCAGTATAGGGCTCCGGGTGCCCGGAGTTTCTAGCCACGATGCGAGACACAGTTACCGCGCCCGGCCTATCTGGAGGGGCCTCGGGGTGCGGGGGGGTGGTCGACACAACAGGGGGGGCGAGGGGGGCACAGTGGGCGCGCGACGGGCCGCCGGCGGGGCCGGCGGATCCAGCGGGATTCCAGTTTAGGCCTCGGGGTCCGCTTTTCCGGCGGTCGCCGTTAGTAGATGCCGTTCTTGTTGAGCAGTTCGCTGATGTATTTCTTTGCTTGCTCGGTTCCTCGCCAGTTGTCGTGGCGCTTGACTGGGGCGTCCGGGTCGAAGCCGTAGAAGGACGTCTCGCGATTGACGAGATCGTCGTATGTCGACCCGAGTTTCGTCTTGAGCGCGCCGACGAGTCTTTGCACCTCTGCTGCTCGTACGCGGGACCCAGCGCTTTCCCTCCCCGTTGATCCTATCGAGAACTCGTTGAGGAACGCTGGAATCATTGTCATGGTGTCACCTGTGGCGGGACGCGCTAATTTCAAAAACGAACATCCAAAACATGACTGACACAGAGCTGAAGCATTATATCCTGTGCTCCTAGTTGCTGGCTATTTCTTATGGTATGGTATCCTGGTATCTTCTTACTTCCCTCGTATCTTGCTACTTTCCTGGTACGTCGGTGTGTGTGGTGGTGTCGGTGTCGGTTAGTTGTCGGGGTTGTTTGAAAACTTCAAGTACCCATCTTAGTGAAGGGTAGCCTAGCTAACTCCCTTTACACCACCCCGGGCCGGTACCAGTCCACCACCCGCGTCCGTAGGGACGCCCCGACGAGCCCGGCAGTACTTGCGGAGGCCTTCGCGGGGCGCACAACTAAATACGGGGAGTAGGCTCGCCGAGCTCGCTGGCTCATTTTTAAACACCACTAAAATTTTGCTACCTGAGCTCGTAATGAAGCGCCAAAATGACGATTCCGACGCACTGTCTGATGACGACTCCGGAGAAAATCTTATGGAACATATGGAAGGGGATTACGTTGCGATCCCTGAGTTAGACCGATACGACCATGGCGTTCTTGACGGCGATAGCTATGACAACATCGACCCCAGGGCCCGACGAGCTGCTGAGGTAACAGATTATCATATTTTTTGTTTCAGCAGTCTTGCAGATGGAAATTGACGCTCGGCATGAAGGCCGTCAAGGACACCTCATCAATCAACTTGATGATTTCGGGAAGGAGGGTACGTGTTATTTACAAATTACAAAAGTATTAAGCGCAATTATAGACGAGGCCGGGCGTATGCTGCGGCGACGCGACTTGTCGGACGTCCAACATGAGGCGACGGGGCACTCGATTGGGGACATCAACCTTGAGACTATGGATATGCCCCTTCGCGAGTGTGCTAATGCGTCGACCCTTTGTTACGCTTCAAAACATCGACGTTCAGGTGGATAGCCCAGGACAGGACTCGCCGTGAGATCAAGCGGAGGCCACGTGACCGTGTCCAGAGAGATCCACCCGCGCAGCCATTGTTAAGTCCGCTCGCAGGTTCCGAAATTACCTAGAGTCAGATGAAAGTCATATGACAAGTATTCGTTCGATGTGTGCAAATAATCTCGTGCGTGCTCTTACCATATAGCTCGTCATATTTGCTTCCGCAATCCACGTAGGCTAGCTTCGAAGTTTCTTATCAAAGCCTCAGTTCTGATGTTCCTATACTTGCTATCTGGGTTGCTGATGCACCTCGCGACATCATTGAGTCAAATCGGCGTTGGTGTGACTCAAGTTACTTCGACGAGATGTCATAGGATCTTCGATGAAGTTGCGAATGAACTAGTCCTTTCTTCGGAACATTTTCCCGACTACGGTCACGGCTTAGTGTAGAGACTGCAGATTTTCGCTCCAGCAAATTCAATCAGGTGAGATAAAAGATGAAGTGCATGTGAGAATTCGTGATTTACCCATCGTCGATACACTCCGTGACCTGAGGCAGACTCACCTAAACCAGTAACTAACAGGGTTTGAGCCAACCAAATTCAGCATTGTTATATTGTCCAATCCCTAGGCTAGTCCGTGTGAATGGCGCACGGCTACCTGTGCTTTTTAGTCGAAACCCACCTACCTCACCTAAGTGAGCAGCACACTTTCTCAGGTGGTAACACGCAGGTCGACTGTCTTCCCACAGCTCAAAATGGTCTATTTCACTTGCTTGAGCTGTGGCGTGAGCCTCGGGCCATTTAAGCAAAACAATTCCACTGAAGTCAACATCCCTGACCCCTTGATCGATTTTTAGTGACATTGGCATTAGGTGAGCCCAGGTTCCTGCCCATGCTGTCATCAACGTGGGCCATTCAAGGTTGACGAAGAGCAAACACTATATGGAAATTACCAGAAACTAGCAATCCAAGAAGCCCCAGGTTATGCCTGTATTGCCTTAATTTGCGAGACTTTGTGGCAAAGGTGCGGTACCACCGGGGCGTGTCCCACGTCACAAAGGTGTTGTGCTGCTTGCTGATCTAATTGATGTTGCTAGACCCGGCGAAGAAGTTGAAGTGACTGGGGTCTATGTTCACTCGCGCCATCCAGAGCCGAAATTGCCCGCAATTACGGTGACAGATGCGGCTGCGACCTAGGTATGAAACAGGCATCTCGGGTACTTCGCAACCTAACATCACAAACAAGGGCATCTCTGAGAACCACAGGTCGCGCAGGATTTCCAATTTTCTCAACCACAATTGAGGCAAATCATGCACGCTGACTGCGCCCAGCATCTGTGAACATCTGTGCATCTATACAGACCCATCATCAGGTAGCAAAGCGAACGTCCGCAGCAACGCGACCATCCTCCAGGATGAATGAGGAAGAAAAGCGTCACGTTCTACGCTTCGCACGCGATCCTAATTCTGATGAGCGAATTGTACGTCACAACGCTTGCGCTTTGGATAGATATGCAAATTCCCTGCCTAGGCTGCCTCACTTGCTCCTTCCATCTATGGCCAAAAGCATGTCAAACGTGCCTTGGCGATGGCTATGTTTGGCGGGTGCTCGAAAGATGTCGATGGTAAACATAGAATCCGTGGCGACGTTCGTACCTGAACTTAAAACAATCGTGCATGTTTCATTTTTTACTTAGTATGTTTGACCCAAGTTAATTAGTTTCACGCAGGTTAATGTGATGCTGCTCGGTGATCCAGGTTGCGCTAAGTCACAACTGCTCAAATACTGTTGTGCTGTTATGCCGCGCGCAATCTACACCACCGGCAAGGGTGCATCTGCCGTTGGACTCACGGCTGGTGTGCACAAAGATCCGCTCACAAAGGAGTGGACATTAGAGGGTGGGGCACTTGTGCTGGCAGACAATGGCATGCATGGAACAGTGTGTCTTGAGTTTGTTTCTAGCCTTCATCTGATTCAACCAGGTGCTGCATCGACGAATTTGATAAGATGAATGAACAGGATCGCACATCGATCCATGAAGCCATGGAACAGCAGTCAATTTCAGTTTCCAAGGTAGGCCCTCATCCTGTGTATTCTGGCCTCAAGTGTTCATAGGCCGGCATTGTGACGTCACTCCAAGCTCGTTGCGCCGTTGTTGCAGCTGCAAATCCAATCGGAGGACAGTGCAGTTCCGCGCCTGAAACTTTTTGAATACGGTTCCTGTGATTATTCACCTGTCAGATATGATTCGGGCGCAACATTTGCAGACAATGTCGAGCTCACCGCAAATCGCGCTGCGTATCATCTATCTGAATATTGGTTCGCCTATTTTGACCGAACTGATTAGGATCCAATCCTTCAGCGGTTCGACATCCTGTGCGTGCTTCAAGATGTGGTCGATCCGCAACCGGCCGTGTTATCTTTAACTTGACAACACCAAATCCGACCAAACACAGGCTCCTCGATGAGCAGTTGGCAGCTTATGTCATTGGATCTCATCGTCGGGCACAATCTCTCTCAGGCACAGTACTTACGTACACATCATTTGCCTGCAGGGACCCAAAACTTAGGTCCCGAGAACACTAAAGGCACTATCAAAAGTTCCCAGATGGGCTATGCAAACAAGCCCCTTGCTGACGGGTCATCTCTCCACTCGTACGCCAACAGCAACGAAACGATACCGCAAGACTTTCTTCGCAAGTATCTTTCACACGCCCGCGATACATGCCAGCCTCGCTTGCATTCCATTGATCAAGACAAAATCTCGCGCCTCTACGCAGACCTTCGCCGTGAGTCAGCCATTTGTGGCGGGGTTCCCATCGCCGTCCGACATCTCGAATCTCTGATGCGCATGGCGGAGGCTCATGTTGCCACTCCGTGTTTCGTTTTATTCTAGTCCCATGCTGCATCGTTAATAGGCCAAAATGTCCCTCCGTGAGCACGTGCGTGATGATGACGTTGATGCAGCGATCTCCATCCTTCTCACTTCGTTCATCAGTGCTCAGAAGTTTTCAGTACGAAAATCTCTTGAGCGTGGCTTTCGAAAATATTTAACACGCGCTGGCGACTTTTTTCATCTACTTCTACATGCACTTCGATCACTCCTCCGCGAAGCTCAGACCTACGCTACACTCAAAGCTCAACAACGTGATAGCCACCCAAATGATTCGGTGCTGAAGGTCTTACTTGGTGACTTTGAAGCCAAGGCCCGTGAAATTAACTATATTGGCGATCTCAACGAGCGCTATCCGGAGCTAAAACACAAATATTACACCATATTATCTTCCGATCATGGCATTCAATCAACTGTCGCACAGGTTCTATGGATCCGACATGTTTGTGAATCAGGGCTTTTCCTTTGATATGGAAAGAACAAACATATTGTGGTCTCCGTCCGGGTAGCAGAAGAGCCCTCGGGGCCCTTAGGACACGTAAGCTCGATGCGCGTTTCTTTTCTCCCCCACACAGTGGAGTTGCAACCCCAGTCGCCGGCCCCAAATTGTCGGGGGCGTTCCTAGCGAGATAGTAAACTCAGGGGCAGGGGGGCAGCCTGGAGGCAGCCTAGTGGGGCTGGAGCCTGAGGTTAGCTACATGAGCGCCCCGCGAGCGCAGCTTGCGCGAGAAGTGCGCGAGATCTCCACCCGCCGGCGATGCCCGACCACCCGCGGCGTCGCCCGCGCCGTCGACGCGCGCGCGCCGGCAGCCAGCCCAGCGACCGGCCCGAGACGCGTGCCGCCGCCGGAGACGGTAAAACCACCCCGAGGCCTCCCAGGGCCCGGACGCCCACCCGCCTCCGTGTCCCAAAAACCCCCGGCGACGGCGCCGCGGGCTCCTTGAACGCGCGAGCGCCCGCAGCAAGCGAGGGCGCGCCGAAGTTTCCGGAGCGGGTGAGCCGATCAATATCGCGCAGCCGGCCAGCGAACGACAATGCAGGGAGAGATTTTAAATGAAGAAGCTGGGATCGAAAAGGGCGAAAACGCGAGAATGGCCTCCTTCGTTGGCGCGATTGCTATCGCCGATCTTGTAAAGCAAGTTTACATAAAATCCCTGACCATGCGAAGCTCCGATTATGTAGGTCAACGCTTGGCCCTAAAGGCACAGCACACGTTGCTAAATGTGAGATCTTAACCCCCGGTGATCACATAGGTATGGACAAGATCTTGCAGTCTGTTTCTTCACGAGAAAACAAGATCGAGGTTTGACAATATCGCACATTCCGGAGATTTTTTACTGTCGGATAGGTAACAAATGACGGTGCCACGATCCTCCGTTCAGTACATATCGACAATGCAGCGGCGAAAGTGCTGGTTGACATTGCGAAGACCCAAGACGAAGAGGTTGGCGATGGCACAACTAGTGTAGCTGTCACTTTCAGTGCTTAACTTGCAGCTTAAGACTAAGCGAAGGTGTCGCCTTTATTGAGTGTGAATTAGGTACTATGTGGAGAATTATTGCGAGAGGCAGAAAAACTTATCGATGCTCGCGTGCACCCACAAACTATTGCGGTGGGTCTCTTAGGGTTGAAATGTGCATGTCAACTAGTGGTCATTGCTTTAGGCTGGATGGCGTGCAGCAGTAAGACTGGCGCGAATCGAACTCGAGAATGCAGCAGCTTCTAACGCCGATGAAAGCCCAGCTGCATTTCGACAAGATCTACAGGAAATCGCCCAGACAACATTAAGCTCAAAGCTAGTATTATATGAAAAGGTAATATTCCATTGCTGCGGACGAAGGTAATGGTCAAACTTGCTTGTATTCTAGGAACACTTCGCTACACTGGCTGTCGATGCAGTATTGCGAATCCGAGGATCAGAAAACTTGGACTACGTGCAGCTCATTAAAAAGCCTGGTGGCTCATTGCGCGACTCGTATCTAGCTGATGGCTTTGTGCTTGACAAAAAGATTGGCATTGGCCAACCACGTCGCATTGAAACTGCGAAGGTAATGGTGGCAAACACTGCCATGGACACCGATAAAATAAAAATCTACGGTGCCCGTGTCAAGGTAGCCAGCCTCGCGAAAGTTGCAGAGATAGAAGCCGCTGAAAAAGAAAAAATGGCGGCCAAGTGTGCACGCATATGCGATCATGGCATAAACGTTTTCATTAATCGCCAGCTCATATACAATTATCCTGAAGAAATATTTGCCAAACGTGGTGTCATGGCCATTGAGCACGCTGATTTCGAAGGAGTCGAACGTCTCGCCGTGGAACCCTGGGTGGATTCATATTCAGTGGATAATGAGCAACACATGTATGATTATAGGCCGTATTAGGGGCCGAGATTTGCTCTACGTTTGAGCAACCAGAACTTGCTACTCTCGGGACGTGCGAGCTTATTGATGAAATCATGGTTGGAGAGGACAAGCTCATCCGTTTTTCCGGTTGCAAGTCTGGTGAAGCATGCACGATTGTACTCCGTGGTGCTTCAACTCATGTTCTTGACGAAGCAGAGCGCATTGAGCAGCGCATATCGATCACCTAATTTGATCACGATTTAGCTCTTCCGTCTAGGGTCACTTCATGATGCTCTTTGCGTTCTGTCTCGCACTGTAGCTGAAACCCGCACCATTCCGGGTGGCGGTTGTACTGAGGTCCGTATGGCCCGTGCAATTGATGCCGAAGTCCCAAATACGCCCGGTAAAAAGGCTCTTGCCATGGAGGCCTTTGCCAAAGCGCTGCGCACCTTGCCAGCGATAATTGCCGATAATGGGGGCTTCGATTCCTCTGAGCTAGTGACCCGCCTGCGAGCTGCTCATGCTGGTGGTCATACTACTGCTGGTCTCGACATGACCAACGGTGAAATCGCCGATATGGGCAAACTGGGGATCCGTGAATCCTATAAATCGAAGCTACACGTTCTTGTGCTATCCCGAGTGTCACTCGATCCGCCCAAGCTAAATATCCTTACTAGGTGTCGGCGGCCGAAGCTGCAGAGATGATTCTGCGTGTTGATGACATTGTGAAATGTGCTCCTCGCAAACGGGAGGGACACTGAACATACTCGCTTAGGGCTGAACAGCTGATGGCTTGTGGTCCCGAGTGCCACCGTGAGCGTTTGCACACACGAAACTGACACAAATCAAAAGTGCCTGATCATGCCTCTCGTAGCCCTTGGGTGCTGTCAGTTGCCTCCAGGTCCGATTAAGCACCCCGGACGCTTCAAATATTGGCCGGACCTCCTGGGCGGCCGCAAGTGCCACGTGTTCGTTGCGTGTTCCGCGGGAATACCTGGCACCAGCGGGGGCTCCCCGATGAGAGCACCGTAGACTGGGATAACGAGGCTTCTTGCACGGCTTCTTACTTAGCCTCGTGAGAGCAGCCCGCGAAATTCGACGCGCTCTAGCCCCCCCCCCGAACGCGGGAAACTCGACGCGCTCTAGTTTGGGCCCCGCCCGGCCCCCCAGCGCCTGAGTAAAGCCCCCGGCTGCCGACCCAAAATTATCGGGGGCGTTTCGGGTCCCTTGGGGCCCCCTCCAGCGCAGGGGGGGGGTTCTGGGCGGGGTTCTGCCGCCGCCGGCGGCCGCGGAGCCTCGGGGCCTCCTATTAGAACAAACTAGAACGGTTCTAGTTCCAGTATAGGGCTCCGGGTGCCCGGAGTTTCTAGCCACGATGCGAGACACAGTTACGGCGCCCGGCCTATCTGGAGAGGCCTCGGGGTGCGGGGGGATGGTCGACACAACAGGGGGACCTATAACCGCACAGTGGGCGCGCGACGGGCGGCCGGCGGGGCCGGCGGAACCAGCGGGATTCCAGTGTAGGGCTCGGGTTCCGAGTCGTCGTCCGAGCTAGAGATTTCAAGCCAGCTGCGCGCGGTCCCAGTAATGCTGGGCGGTCTCTCTTTGACGGGGTTGCCGTCCTCATCCATGTACTTCATGAGTTTAGGGCCCCTGATCGAACTTGCTTTGAAGCGAGGATAACCTGCCATCAGTAGTCGACAGTTTTTCCGTCACTTTGTTAAGATCAGCAGTGAAGTCAGCAGAAACCATCGAGAGTTCAGCTTTACCTTCCACCATGGTGTCCAAGATGAGAGTTTTTAGTTCCTCTTTGTGCTCACTTATAAGTCCAGGACCAGAGAAGAAGGCCTTCTGGTCCTTAAGTCTTTTGTCTGTTTTGTCAGCCCTATCATTTAGGCCATCAAGTGATGAGGAAACAGTGTCTAACTTCCGACCAAATGCCTCAATTTTGTCGTTGGACTCCCTAATTGCTTGGAAGATGCTTGCCAAGACCGAAGCACTCTCAGCTGCTTTTGCATCTGCCTCAGCTGCTGCTGCTTCTCTGGCTACTTCTGCCTGAGCTGCTGCTGCGGCTGCATCGGCTGCCGCTCTAGCTTCGGCGTCCAATTGCTCCGCACTCGGATCCATTCTCCCCCTGCAATTGAGCGCGGGGAAAGAGCGCAAACGCGAAGCGAGAGAAAAGAACGCGTGAGGTCTACGCAGAGAGACCGAGCGCTGGGTCCCAAACCTAACGAGATAGTAAACTCCGACACGGGGAGGCAGCCTAGTGAAGCTGCCCTGCCGTGTGAGGGTGAACTATCGAGGTTGCGCAGTGGCGGTACACCGGCGTCTCTGTTATCCTCACGTCACCTCAGCTGCCGTAGTATACGGGGCCGGGGCTACTGGACGACGGGCAGAGGATCTGCCTCACTAGGTCCAGGAAGACTCTCCGTCTATTACAGTGCGGGAAGCAACTATAACAGGGTTAGAAAGTATTAAGGAGGGGAAGGATATTGAGTGGCTCTGTACCAGCGAGCCACTAGGGAGATACAAAACCCTCTATCTCCCTAGCCCGAGTCTACGAGAGTAGCCTCCTTCTTAAGTCAATCCTAGCACCCACTCAGACGGCCCTTAGCCTGTGATTATCGAGACTCGTACTGAGTCACGGTGGAGAGGCATCACCTCTTATGCCCCATACAAAGGTACCTAATGAATTATCAAGTACCACACTACAATAGATCGAAAGTCCCCCTAGACCTAGTGTCGAATACCCGGGCCACGGCGATCCCAGCAATTACCAAACCGGCAATTCTCCAAACCGGCAATTCCCCCTGAGTCACCGGCGCGGCTATAATCGCCGGAGCGATGGCCGACCGTGACTGCGCAGGGCCCCTCCTTACCCAGGCCCCTCGTGCGTGGGATAGTGGTTGGGGCGATAGAACCTGGGGATAGTCTGGGTGGTGACGGCGAACACGACACACCCAGTGTGCTGCAGTCGCTCGACTTGATCTGAGGCGCATCTCACCTCTGCGGCCGTGCTATTGTAGCCGATCCAGTCCATTGGTCCTCTGGGTCTGAAGGTTCCAATGCCTGAAGGTTCCAACACCAATGTGAGCAACCCCTTCGCCAGCCCAGTGTCGCCTGGTGAGGTTGTTTACAACGCGAGCCGTCCGAGGACACAGAGCGAAATGGCTCCAGTCACGGGCGAAGCATGGCGCCGCAGACGCTGACATACTGGAGCATGGTAATCGCCATTTCAATATAACTCAGTTATTGCCTCGTCCGAGAGTACACTGCCTAGTTCAGCACGAGGAAGAAGAGCTGGTAAGTGCTAGAGCAAGCTGAAGAGCCGAGGTTGTAAATTACGATCGTCGCAGTGCCACTGCCCGCAGTCGCACTGGCAACTGTCACATAGCCTCCCGAGCACCTGGTCTTGACGGTTACCCATAAGATGCTGGTAGCAGTCACTCTTGAATTGGATAGTGTGATAGTCTCTGAACTACCGGAGCCAAGGGAGCTGGATTCACTTGTTAGGATCCCACCCATTGTGTTTACCGTGGCGCTCGCGCTAGATACCGTAGCAGCGGATGTGGTTCGTTCGAAACCATACACATAGCTGGAAGAGAATGTGACTCCAGAGTCACCACTAAGTGTAACAATTGCGCCACTTGCAATCGATATTCCAGATGATGCGGCCACTGAACCAGATGTGTGGGATGCGGAGAAGGAAGTTGACGAAATAGAGATGATAGCTGACGTGCCATGTCTCACGTAAACCTGGCCATCATTTGCGGAGCCATGTCCTGCATTGATGTATGTAGCACCACCATTAGTATTGCCAGAAACAGACCCAGCACGTAAATAGAGCGAACCACCGACACCTGAAGTTCCACTTCCTACGGACAGGCTTACGAGCCCACCGCGACCGCCGGTCGCCGCTCCCGATCCAACAAGAACAGCTCCACTATGCCAG